CCCACCCCGCAGGGAGGCGCATGCGCAGTTCCTTGCAGACGCGGAAAGCAGCTGTGGAGGGGAAGGTGGGGGCTCCCCTGAGGAGGGTGTTTGTCTTTAAAGCTGACGCTCCCCGTGCCCCTCCCCGCAGGGAAGGCTGAGGGCGCCGCCGGCGCTGAAGTCCTTGTTGGGGTCCCCGCCCCCGAGCCTCTCTCAGCGGTGAGTCCGCGTCCCGGGAGGCTGCGCGGTGCGGACGCCACGTGCCTTTGGGAGGAAACGGAGGCCCCGGCCCGGGGTCTCTCCGCCTGTGGCTGTGGCCACCGCCTGCCGCGCGGTTTTCCCGCTGAAAACCGTTCCCGGGGCCGCCGGTCCTCCCCGCGGGGCTGAGAGTCTGGGTCAGGGGGTTCCCGACCTTTGCGCCCCTCCCCCCGCCTGGCGCTTTCCGCCCAAAGAGCCCGGATGGCTCCCGGCCTGGGGGTCTGCACCCCCCTCCTAGGCCCACCGCAAAGGCTTTAGCATGAAGATCTATTCTCTGTAATTTCCTGGGAAAGAGAACCGAAAACCACCTGGGAAACCTGCACGTGTAGAAGTTCCTGCTTCTCCCCCTCCCGCTCCCCGCAGGTCTCAGGGCTGCTGGGTCTGGTGTCTTGTACCCAGCGCCCCTGAAAACAGCTCTGGGGCAGCTTGGGAGGCCGAGGAGGCAACTAGTTAAAGATGCCGGTCAGGGCCCCCAGGGCAGGCTTTGTTCAGGGGAGGTAAGGGGTGCTCTGTGGGGTTGGGGTTCAGCAGAGCAGCACATGTGCTCCTTCCTGTAGGAGTTTGTGGAAGTGTTTATTAGGTTTTACGCCGCCGCCAGGAAAAAACCGTGAGTCCAAACAGAGACCGGATTAAACAGGCTTTATTGGGAGCACACGGGCGGGTTCACCAGCTCGGAGAGGGGAGCAGGAGAAGCCGCGCCAGACTGGAGCAGGGGCAAGTTTTGATGCTGGCAGAAACTGGTGGCAGTGGGGGTTGTCCGGGGTCAGGTGAAACCTGCGGTCTGTCCTGCGGTTTTGGCCATTTCCAGGAGCCGTTTGTCCGGCAGGGACTTTCCACCGGGGTGGGGGGGTTTCTGGACGTCAGTGTGGTGAGGTCAGTTTCTCTCCGGCCCAAGAGAGGGAGAGGGTCTCCCCCCCCCCCGGGGCGGGGTGCCAGCAAATACCGGACAGTGTTTGACACATGAAGACAGAAAAAAACACCTCAGTGTGGTCTCCATGTAGGAGCTCATTGTTCCTGACTCTCTCCTGTGACACAGGACAGGAGGGGGTGTCCTTTTCCTCATTTCCAGGTCCTTCTAGGTCCTTCTGACTGAGTGAGGGGAGCTGATTGACAGGCTGTGGGGACGCCTTTGAAGGCACATTCTGTGACTCCTCAACACATTGTCTCCTGAGGAAACAACCCTGATCTCATCAGGACCAGGACCAAATGGCTGCTTCTCAGGTAAAAGATGTGTCCGGGGTCAGAGGCTCTGTTTGCTTTTCCTCTAACATTTGTTGATATATTTGTCTTTCCCTCAGGCCTGTGTCCCCTGTTGCACTGTGTCCTGTGACCTACAGCTAGCTCATTCTCAGTGCTGCTTTTCCCTCTACTTTGCCATCCCTAAACCCCCCTTCCTGTCCCCGCTCTTGCTCCCCCAATTCGTTCTGTGTGAAGATCTTTAGACCTTTCCAGGAGAATGTCTATGTAGGCCTTTTATTCTACCTTCCTTCATTATTTCACGTAATGTCTGTATCACAGGTTTTTCATTTCTTTGTTTATAACTTTTATTTTTATTTTTTATTGATTTCAGAGAGGAAGGGAGAGGAAGAGATAGTTAGAAACATCAATGAGGAGAGAGAATCATTGATAGGCTGCCTCTTACATGTCCCCAACTGGAGATCAAGTCCGCAACCCGCCCATGTGCCCTTGACAGGAATCAAACCTGGGACTTTTCAGTTCACAGTTCGGCACTCTATCCACTGAGCGATACCAGCTAGGGCTGCATTATAGTTTTTTGATAACAGAAGCTTTGAAGTATGTTTTAAAACCAGGAAGCCTGAAGCCTTTAATTTCATACATTCTTTTCTTTCTTTTTTTACTTGTTTTTATTTTATTCTTTTTTTGGTGGCAGCGGTGGGATACGAACCCCATACATTCTTTTCTTGATTGACTTGGTTACATGAAGTCCTGTGACATTCACATTAAGAGCTTTTCTACTTCCACCAATAGTGTCAGCAGTTTCTATATTTCCCTCACTTTTTTAGTATATATTTTTGTTGATTTCAGAATGGCAAGGAGAGGGAGAGAGAGATAGAAACATCAATGAGAAAAATCATTGATCAGCTGCCTCTTCCACACCCCTCACTGGGGATCAATTCTGAAACCTGGAGTGAGCCCTGACCAGGAATGGAACCCTGCCCTCCTGGTTCAGAGGTCAACAATCTACCTCTGAGCCTCATTGGCCCGGCTATATTTCTCTCCTTTTTCCCAGAGCCTTCTCTGCCTTCACTTTATGCAGCCTCCACAAGGTCAGGAAGCATTCCCACCTTTAATTAATGACTCTCAACTATTCAGAACATCCCTTTTATGACAGATCCACCTGGGAAGGCAGCCATGTCTAACATCCCTTTTGGGATGGGGTCAGAGGCTCTTGTGTCTTGAAGAAGGGAAATGTAGGTTTTAGGTTCAAGTGGCTGCAGCATCAGCTCATGATCGGGAGTAAGAAAATGCACATTTTACTGTTCAAAATAGCTCAGCAAGTTCTTAATGAAGAGTAAATAGTAAATAGAAGAGACTTGCTCACTAGATTAGGGCGAAAGTTTTGGTACTTAAATGTACTGTTAGCTTACAGAACATGAGAGGTACCTGTGGGTTGACACTTGCAAGAATTAATGTTAATTTGTGATCATTTCCGCATAATGATTTCTTTATTGAGGTATTTTGGCAGTAATGTCACAGCAGTGGTGACCTGACCTTCCGTGTGCCTCAGTCACCTGATGCCCATTGTCTCAGGCTCCCTGATGATCACGTGGCAGAGATGCTCCCTTCACTGTAGAGTTAATAGTCTCCCTTTCTCAGGAACAAGGGTATAGTAGGGGTTTAATGAAAGATGTGCAAAGACCTCATTCACATCTGGAAATGTCCTTCTTCTTAGTTTGTGTTTGCTTTGGAAAATGAAGGACTTACTTTTATTTCCTACAGATCATTGGCTTTTTCATGGGACTTTTAAAACAATCAGACCTTGATTCTTTAACTTTTCATTATATTCTATACTCACATGAGAGACATACCCTACATGATCACTTTTTGTATTTTCTAGAAAGTTTCCAAGAATGATATTATTAATGTATGTTCAGTTTCATTAAGTTTCTACAACATAACTTTCCACTAATGATACATAAGAATTTTGAAAGAAATGTACTAGTAAGAAAAATGAGTTCCCTCAGGCTGGTGTGGATCACTGGTGGAGGGTTTGATTCCTGGTTTAGGGCAAGTAGGTCCTGGGTACGTGTGGTAGGCAGGCCACCCATGCGTCTCTGTCTCTTTCACATTGATGTCTCTCTCTCTCTCTCTCTGTCTCTCTCTCTCTCTTTCACCCTTCCCCTTTCCCTTTCCCTTTTGTGCTTCTACCTCCCTGCCTCCCACTCTGCAAAACTCAATGGAAAAAATCTCTGGAGGTGAGGATTTACAACCACACAAAGGAAACAGTAGGTCTAACTTGTTTTGTATCCTTATGTTTCTGTCCTTATTGTGCTTATAAAACAAAAAGGGGATCATACACAAATACATTCATGAGATTTACGGAATCACCTAACCATCTTGATTTCATACTTATGTTTGTCTCTGTGCCTAAACTGTTAACGTTATTTCAGTTATTTTTTCTTTTTTTTTCAAGTATATTTATGGATTTCAGAAAGGAAGGGAGAGGTAGAGAAAGATAGAAACATCATTGATGAGAGAGAATCATTGAACAGAAGCCTCCTGCACACCCCACACTGGGGATTGAGCTAGCAATTTTGTGTGTCCTGATCGGATATCAAACCAGTGACGTCTTGGTAAATGGGTCTGGCTAAACCACTGGGCCATACCAGTTGGAACAGGCAGAATAATCTTGTTCTAAGGTTACTCATAGTAAATTTCCAACTAGGATTGTGGTTCTTATCTGTCCTATTCCATGAGAATTGAATTCCATTAACAAAACCTTTTAGTTCAAAGTTCTATATGAATTATTTACTGTGTTTTCTTTTTCTGTGTATACAGAAGCATGGCACATGATTTGGGAACATTGGCATCACAAGTAAAAAGTGAGCTTGGGACATGTGTGGAAACACAGGCCCCATCTCAGAACCTGGATCAGAATCTGTGTCTTTACAGAAGATCATTTTGCTGTGGTTTGCTTCAACTTGAGAAGAAGTCCGTAAACTCCAACCCATCATTGCATTTCCATCTGAGAAATATATCCCACTGGCCCTGAACTATGCAAATGCAGCACTCAGAAATCCATATGCTTGTATCCATGCTTTAATTTAATTAATTTATTTTTTAATATATTTTTATTGATTTCAGAGAGGAAAGGGGGGAAGAGAGAGAGAGAACAATGGTGAGAAAGAATTCGTGATCGGCTGCCTCCAATACACGCCCTACTTGGCATTGAGCCTGCAACCCCGGCTTTTGCCCTTGATAGGAATTGAACCTGCGACTCTTGATTCTGCAGGCCCACCCTCTATCCACTGAGCCCACTGAGCCAAACTGACTACAGCCATGACTTAATTTTAAAGTTTATTTCCTCACATAGGAAAATCTGAATCCTGATCAATGGACATGTGTCATCCTAATTTGTCAGTGTTAGAACACATATCAGAGAATGTTACTGGGGCAGAGTTATCTTATTGGGTGATTCAGGATACTCCCCGAGGTCCAAACCTCTTCTCTTTACACTGTTTTCATGTTGGGTGACGTGAACACTTCTGGTGACCTCTTGGTACATGTTTCTTATCTTTCAGGGACCATTGACCTTCAGGGATGTGGCCATAGATTTCTCTCAGGAGGAGTGGGAATGCCTGGACCCAGCTCAGCGGAAATTGTACCTGGATGTGATGTTGGAGAACTACAGCAACCTGGCCTCCCTGGGTGAGGATGACTTCCTTTCCGAGTTCCTACTCCACCCGCAGGGTTTTGTTTCCTTTATTTTTTAATATCTCTATGGCCTTCTGCTTTCTATGGTAGATTCTTGCTCTCAAGGAACAAGTTGGTCTGTAGCTAGTTTGGCCCAGTGGATAGAACACCGGCCTGCAGACTGAAAGGTTCCAGTTACGATTCTGTTCAAGGGCAAATGCCAGAGTTGTGGGCTTGCTGCCTAGTATGGGGTGCGCAGGAGGCAACTGATCAATGATTCTCTCTCATCATTAATGTTTCTATCTCTCCTCCTGTCTTCCTCTCTAAAAAAAATAAATATATGTAAGTTTTTTAAAAGGAACAAATGAATTCTTTGGTTTAGAAAAGAAACACTTTTTGATGTATGTGAATTAGGAACTCAGTGCTTGCACACATTACATTTTTTCTACACTAATGAAGGTAATATCAGAAAGTAATATTTTAGAAAATAATTTTCTAGAATATTCTAGTAGTCTACCACTAGAGGCCTGGTGCACGAAATACGTGCATGGGAAGGGTCTCTAGTCCCGACCCCTCCTTCTCTCCCTCCACTAGTGCTCCACCGCCACCTCTGCTCTCCAGCCTTGTTCTGGACCGGCCCCTGGTGGTCAGCACACATCATAGGGAGCGATGGAACTCTTGCTCTTCCGGTCGTACTCCCAAGTGGACAATTTTTATATTAGCCTTTTTTACACACACACACACACACACACACACACACACTAGTGGCCCGATGCACTAAATTCGTGCACGGGTTGTGTGTCCCTCAGACTGGCCTGCAACCTCTCCAATCTGGGATCCCTCGGACATCCCTCTCGCAATCTGGGACTACTGGCTCCTAACTGCTCACCTGCCTGGCTCCTGATGGCTCACCTGCCTGGCCTGGCCTGGCTGCCTGATCGCCCCCTAAACAATTTGGCTGGTTGTCTTTGTTTGCCCCCAACAGACCCCACTCCAGCACGGGGATGTGTTGTTCTTTTATTTCGTTCTGGTGATGCAATCCCGACGGACACAATTAACAGACACACACCCGCCCTCGGGCGCACGACGCCCGAACGGGTATTAAGTGG